GACCTTTGATTACGTTTTCTTCTATGTCATAAAGGATAAATAACTAGATGATAAGCTAGGATATATGAGCTCTATTTCAATTTGAAAAATGCTCCACATTATGTACACTTCTTCTTTCGAGGTTATAAATCACACATTTAACCGGCCTTTTTATACCTTTTTCAGTGTTTGATATGTAACTTTATTGAAATAAAATGGTATAATTTCAATCATTAAATTAAATAATGCATACAGAATTTCAAAATCAATCGATCTCATTTAAAATCAGTAAAAACATTTGTATATATTAAGTATCTCAAAATAGTTGCCTATAGTTGTGTATTAATTAAATAGTAGATAATTAAATAGCGAATGAGAATTCCTAAAAGCAATTAAATGCAGAGAAGAAAAATTCAAATTGAAGAAATGACCCACTTTTTACCTAAACTATGTCTTATTACTTTGATAGTCGCGTATGAAAGTAAAATTAATATCGTTGAGTGTCCGCAGAAACCCTGTGGAATATGTATCGATCAAAGTAACGTAACACCGACTTGTACATACAATAGCTGTGTTGATGTTACTGTCACTCACGCAGGTGTATCTTGAAACACGCGAATTTTGGTTTCTCTCTCTCTCTCTCTCTCTCTCTCTCTCTCTCTCTCTCTCTCTCTCTCTTTGTTTAATATGACATAAGTTCTTATGAGTGACGAGGATAAGGGGGTTTAACAAGCATGCGAGCTTGCGGGACGCGCGTTGTGTAAGTGCTACTTGTATTTACAGTTGGTAGTAATACACGAAGAAAAGAGGTTTTATCATGACTGCTTACAGAAAAATGTCTCTTTAGAAATCAATTTCGGTTCTTGTTCTAGCTGATACTTCTTAAATGAAAAAAAATTTCGATTGAATTTGAAATGACTTGATCGAATGCGCTAGCATATTTGATAATTTTCACGTAATTTATTATTTTATTTATTTTCTTTTTTGTAATTTTTGTTCTATTCTGAAAGGTGTTATTTCAAAATAATTCTGATTACTATTAAAAAACTGAACAACTAATTTTATTATTGCTTCTTGAAAAGTTTCTCTTTAGAACTGCTATTTCGCTGACTTTTTACCGCAAGGTAAAAGCCGGATTTATCCGGGTTAAAGTCTGTTTAAAGAAAATTTGATCGTTTCACCGTGAAAAACGTGGATAAACTTGAATAAGAGGTCGAGAGAAGCTTTTATTTGAAAAGAATGCTGCCTGCTTTAGATCCTTTTTATTAAAAATTTAGTTCTCTTTTTCTGTTACAAGATAACGCTTATAAATACTTTTCGAAGGTGTGCGAGAGTAAAAATACCTGTACATTATTAATACCCGTTTTTTTCTTAATTAATATTTATTTTTATAAAATTAAAAGAGAACTTGAAAAGCACTTAAAAGAAAAGTAACTAAGAAAACAGTTGTTTCGTGCATTACAATCAGATTAAAAAATTCAAGGACATGCTAATTAAACCTACAATTCTGTCAAAGATTAAAGGTTTTAAAATTTAATTCGACAATAATTACATACTGCTGTAATGGTAAGCTTTATACAATCAACGTCTTATTTCTATACGGAATTATTAATTAACAATTTAGAATTGAAAAATTCTGAGATTGATATTTAATTGGCATAAAAAATAACATCATCCAGGTGAAATAATAGTGATATTCGACGTTAGTATTTTCTTTATACTCGTGGATGGAGGGTTCGAACGACTTTGTGAGTAAGCCGACGACCAATCTACCAAAACACTCGAGTGAACATCAAACAGCCGGTACACTCAAGTTCTGAACAAACATACTTTAATCCTGGAAAGTTCCGTTCGAATAATGACTTTTCTCTCAGATAAACTTCCATCATGTTTGTATCGTCATTCGATTTTGTTAATTCACTTTTGAAATTTTCAGTCGTTGCCTCGGCTATACGGTGTTTGATTATTACACATAATACAAGTCACGACGAATCTATCTCTCCATCATTACATATGATAAAAACACAGTTGGAAAATTGGATTTATGCAAAATTGGATTTGCTCGAATTCTTTTATCCATCCTCGAAATTATTGTTGAATATTTCGTCAACAGGAAACATTAGAAAAGATTAATTTGGGAGGCATTAGAAGCTTTTTCTCGACGCGAAGCGAATGCGAAATTAAATTTAATCAAAGCCTAGGCCAAAAGTGGCAATAACGTCTTATCTAAATTCCTTCTTTTCTTCTATTTAAAGCCCCAAGAATTGACGATCTTGAAGCTTTTCACACGAGCGCCACTGTACGTAGATATAGACCAACAAAAGAGCACCCAAAGCCACGACCTCTCTATTTAGCCTAGCGATAAGAAGTGCGCGTCTCTTCTATGTAACCTTTTTTGCTTTCACGTTCCAATCACAGTTCTTATGCAGTTAGGCGATGAAAAATTAAGCAGGTCCCTCATATCCTATCGACTATCGCATCTTTTATTCAAAAGCCTTGATGTATTTAAATATTTGTAATCTTGATGCGAATATGAGGACAAATGAAGTAGTTCCATTGAGCTAATTGGGCTTGTTAAAAGGGTGAGGTGCCTAAGCCAGCAGCTGCGCGAAAACGCTGTGATTTTCCAATGCTGCGCTTCGAAATAGAAGCAAGGACGGTTGCAGGTGGGAGCAGAGAATGCCATCGCGTGCCTCGTGACAAAAGCTATATCTACGTCAGTAATTATGGCTATAATGAATGACGCTTTCTCTCTCTCTCCCTCTCTCACTCTCCCGCTTACATACCAACTTCTCTGAAGCGAGGGGGAACTTTAATGATACACCGCAGTTTTGCAAGCTCGCTTCAAACCACTGAATAATTATTTTAATGTTGCCAGGTGGATTATCAGGATTTTTGAGAGGAAGAAAAGAACATTCAGTATTGTCAAGTTGCTCGCGTTTTAGATCTTCACGCGAGAAATATTTTTCTTCACTAATTAATGCGGTAAAATAATATTATGATCAAATTTAGATTAAGGCTTCGTGAACATAATATTCAAAATTGGTCGAAAGCGATTAAGGTCAGACTAGGGTGTCGGTTATGTTAATGTGCATTGGAAACGATATTGTACATATTTTTTTTATTTTCGTTTATAAAAAATTCGTTATATTGAATATTTCCATGTGTAGTAACGAGATAAAAGCTTGAATTTTTGAAATAAAATAATTTATGACTTTATAACGGCAGGGTTTTATTGCAAACTGGGTCATTGAAAATTACTAGTAAATTAGTACACCAACGTCAACACGTTTACGCCAGGTATCAATGTAAATTTGAAATAAAAGATGTTGCTGTTGAAGCTTCACATATCTGCATTATGTGTATAAATACGTATTTAAAGTTGGTCTGCTGTTCTATTAATTACTACTTTGAATCAGCTATTTAAAAAGTAACACTTTTGGTATAAGTTTACACTTAAAATGGTCCGTTATTAAAGGATTTAATAACCACAGTAGGGGCGAAAGTGTATGTTGAGCTTTCAAAGGCAGAAATACGACGTGGATGGAATAGCTGACTGCGGCATTACTGAAATTCTATGCCCGAGCGCTTTTGCGTAAATTGCAAGAGTCCGTCACTCCAATTTCTAGAAGTACAAACAAACAAGGGCGCCTCGCCCAATAAAATCTCTTTTCATAAACAACTCACTCGCTCACTCGTTTAAACCGACTTAGTACATCGTATATATTCGACTACGTACCAATGTGGAAATGAATTGCCCTTCGGTTTCGCTTTACACGTTATTTATGAACATCTCTTGACAATGAATTTATGCCCGCGTAAATGTTGTCTAGTGTACGTAATTATGCATGAGTTTCGTCTTGATTAGATATCTTGAAGAATCGACTTATGGATTTTCATTGAACGTATATAGCGATAGTTTTATTGTTTACGAGACTTTGATGATGTACTTTTATGGAGTTTTTGCTAGATTACTCGGTACAATGTCGGTATTATCAATATGTAGATAAGATAAAGCGCTCAAGTATGTTTACCTTGAAATATTGCATTCCTTATTTATCCGCAGTTTTATCCAGATATTCTATTGCAAAGATTAGTTTGGATTCGAACGTATTTATGAAACGCGTTGCGACGAGCTAACCATGCGAAAAATTGATCGATTCAAAGTATTAAATTTCTGTTGGAAAATGTAGTAGAGAGAAGGAGCTTTAAAATTCAGCAGACTCGCTACAATGTGCAATCGAAATAGTAGACATTTCGATGTGGTCTAGTAAAACGAATGGCTCGAGCGGCAGAGTAAAGCTCACGGCTGAGCAAGAATGAAAGTTACAATACCTAGCGGCGCGCATCGTAGTCCACTTTAAATTGTATTAGGCGACCGTTCCAGTTCAGAACAAGCTATAAGCATGAAAAAGCTTTGTATAGGTAATATCATTTCGTTGCAATAACATAAGTAGAACAATTGCGTGAAAGCTACATCATCCTGAAATGCTGCATGACATCCAAACAATAAAATAGCTCTATTCCATTACAGCCGATGATGGATAGGTAAATTGTTAAGCAATGTTAATTTTGCAGAGACGCTTTTCTCACGCGAGTTTTTAAAATGTTGAACTCAATGCTCTTGTGTTCACATGTGAGAATCGACGTCACACCAAAGCACACGAGACTCAAATATTCTATTTATATTTACCGTTAGATTCCCGGACAAGCGTAGGGACGGGCATGTAACGTAAAGTGGATTTTGGATAAGAATTTGTTGTCGACGAGGCCAAGTAGGTAATATTGCGGGAATCGATAAAAAGCAGCAGCGAAATATTGTCAATCGGTCGAGCTTGCCAAATGCCCGTCCTCCGTATCGCATGCCACAAGAAAATTTATCGCGCGCACTAGGCCGCAGCACTGAGAGAGCGAGAGAGAGAGAGAGAGAGAGCCGATAGCGATTCAAACACAGAGCCAAACGAAATTGCATGCACATGTAGACAGTTATTTAAAGCTGCGTGTGTGATCGTTGGTTGCAGGCTATTATGAAGCCGCGGCGCTCGAAAGGGAGCAGCAGCATCCCCGTGACAAGGTGGTCGGAGGTTGCTCGGAGTTCGCGCTGCTGCTTGGGCTCAAGTTCCCGGTGGGCCGCGGGCGGATGAGGCGCTAGCCCGTGGCCGGGAGGAGCCGAGGAGGCGGAGGCGGAGGAGGCGGCAGGAGACGAGGAAGAGGAGGCGGAGCAGGACGAAGAGGAGGAAGACAACTGCAGAGCGGGAGCTTAGCATAGCGACGTGTTAGACGACGCTTGTGCGGGCTCCGCTTGCCTCGTCTCTCGAGGCGTCCGATGCTCAAGGACACGAGCAAGACGAGGCACGAGGCCGCCGCCGCCGAGGGCGCCGTCGTCGGGCCGGGCGTTGCCGAGCCGGACCGCAACGGGAACAGCAGCACTAACCAGCAACAGCCCGCCGCTACCAGCTTATTATGCCCTTCCACACCGACAGTAGCAGCAGCAGCGAGTCAACAGCAGCAGCAAGCTTACGGCTTCGACATGGTCGCGCCCGGGGCCGCCGTATCCTACTTCCCGGGAGGTGCCGCGCTCCTGGCCGCGGCCGCCGCCGCCAAGGAGGCGACGCCGTTGACGGTGTCGGCGGTCGGTCAGCAGTCGCAGCAGCAGACTGGCTTGGGCGGCGCGACGAAGGAGGTGCGCCTGGTCACTCCCGGTGTGCCGCCGCCGACACCGACTCCGTTGCCGCCCCCGGGCGATATGCAGGGGCCGCTGCCTTTGGAGCTGCAGCAACGCGGCTTCTCGCAGTCGATGAGTTCGCTGCCGCCCGAGCCGCTGATGATTATGCGCTCGAAGGCGCTCAACCGCCGAGTAATCCTGAACGTCGGCGGGGTCAAGCACGAGGTGCTGTGGCGCACCCTCGAGCGGATGCCCCACACCCGGCTTGGCAAGCTGCGCTACTGCAACACCCACGAGGAGCTGGTCAAGCTTTGCGACGATTACTCGCTCGTCGACAACGAGTACTTCTTCGACCGACACCCCAAGTCCTTCAGCTCGATCCTCAACTACTACCGCACCGAGCGGCTACACATCGTCGACGAGATGTGCGTGCTCGCCTTCAGCGATGACCTGGACTACTGGGGCATCGACGAGCTCTACCTCGAGAGCTGCTGCCAGCACAAGTATCACCAGCGTAAGGAGCACGTGCAAGAGGAGATACGCAAGGAGGCCGAATCCCTTAAGAAGAACGACGAGGAGGAGTTCGGCGACGGCAAGTGCGCCCAGTACCAAAAGTATCTCTGGGAGCTGCTTGAAAAGCCCAACACCTCCATCGCCGCCAGGGTGAGTTTCTTCTACACTTTTCTTCTTATTCTCACGACTGTTCACTCATCTCTACTATACACACTTTCACACTTGCGAAATGCGCGTCAGTTTATGTCTATACACTAACATGTCTCGCATTATTATGTCTCTCTTTCTATATACACGCATTTGCCTCATTTTACACCATTCCTAATTTTCTTTGTATTTCGAATCTCCATACTCATATCTCCCTCTCTCTCTCTCTCTCTCTCTCTCTCTCTCTCTCTCTCTCTCTCTCTCTCTCTGTCAATCATTATGTGTTCCGAGGAATACCCAAGCTATGTTTCGCCATCATTCTTTATAGCTTTTTTTTATCGCCTGTCCGCGTCGCTTTCAGACGAGAATCGTACCGGCGTCGATCACTGTCAGATCGTAAAGCGTTATTTTATTTTTTTTTTGCTTTGCGATTCTCCGGAGAACAACGCAAATGCGAAAGTAAAGTTTGTAGCCTTAACTTTGACAAATCATGTACAGTGGATTAGTTTGATGATCGGAGTGCGATTTTATGCAAAGACACGCCAGCAAACTATCTTAAGCGTCGGGATGGAGTTGATTCTAATTCGGTACTTCCTGCACGTTTGTCATAAACCGAAGATGACGTTTTTACGAACATCGTATACGATACGACGTTAAAAATACTGAAAAATCATCTGCTCACTACACAAAATAAGATTTAAGAGAGTGAAATAGGAACTAAGGGCATATTGTACGTTAATAAAAAAAGGAATACATTTAATACACACACACTACAGACGAGAAATTTTTCATTTCATTCAGTTACATCACTGACGAAATCTACATATTTGCAGTTCCGCGTGGCAGACTCGAATATCATTCTAAGGTATTTTTTTCAAACGGTTTTATGATCTCCAAGTTTAATCGTCCCGTAGATTTTTGCCAGATGCCCTTCTATATAACGTTTGGGTTCTACTTGATTTATTGACAATACAGAAAGAGAAGAAAGTAAAAGGCGTGGATTTACGATATTCACGCGTGATTTCTATCTTAAAAAATTGATTAAAAGCGTGCGATAAATCATAAAAAGAAAAGCAAATGACTTTCGAATAACATTTTGTTATATAGCTTTAGCCAATCAATTTGGTTGGTGTACATTCGATGTTTTAAGAAACGTAAAAGTATAGTAGTGCTGTTTACTTAAATTCGACGTAATATTTAATTTGAACCAGTACGTCATTGCTGTCTGTCTATGTAGCCATAAAAGCTGGTAATTGATTTGTTATTACTGTATGTAATGTAGTGACGAAAAACCGTTTGCGTTAGTAAACATCAACCAATTCGTTGGCTTAAAAGTTCACTGTTTTCGAGCCCCGTGAGTATCCATCTTGCCAAATGGTTTTAAACTCGACAGTATGCATTATTCATAAACGAAATTCCAGCGTCATGACAAAGTAAACCACGGTGTGAGGCGTGAAATCACATGTCAGGCGCTCGGTGGTGGGATCTTTGAACCGTGAAATGCAAAATTTCGAAATTGCAAGCGATGGCGCAACAAAACGTGGTTACGTTCGAGTTCGAAAGCTTGTTATCCGTAATCAAATTAATTAACGAGAATTAAGTAAACTATTTGTGCACGTGCGGCGGGTTAAAGTTGCGAAAGAAGGGCATCAAATGTAGCGCGTAGCTTGATTTAATCGGTAAATTTGCGTAACATCAGCCAGAGAAGCAATTAGAAACTGGACTCGAGCAGTAGCATATGTAGGCTCGTTACTGTTATTAAAGGTTAAATCACACACGTATACACACGCACTCACACTTGTTTATCCAAAACGTGCTCGTGTATTAGCTCGTTTTACCTATTTACGTGTTTGCATACGTCGACTTTGTGAGAATTTCGTGCTTTTGTAAGACCGAAACCTGCGCAAAGTTAATGTAACCCGAAATTTATTTTAATTGAAATGTTCCCAATTTGGTAATTACATCAGAAATAATTTGATCGATATAATATCGTTTTGACCTTGATCTACATTCCAAATTTAATTGAACAAAAGCAAAATCGATACTCAAATAAATTGTAATTGTAGTAACTTAAAATTGATGAATTATTATGTCTTTTCAAAATGACGTGAGTTTTATTTTCGTGCTAAATTCACATGATTCTCACAATAACGATTCTATTCGTATACCTACTCGCTATAGAGCGAACAGTAGCGTAGCCCCGACGTTGGTCCCTCACATAAAAATACACCCTTTGAGTCAAACAAACGTACAATAGACTTTTGCCGCTCGAAAAAGTAATCCATCGAGTTTAGTTTGCGAGGATCGTAAAAGCTTGTCTGCTTTTTTCTACTGTTTGATTCGCCGCTCTCCTGCTGCCGCCGCGTATATACGCTTGCCTCTTGGCTTTCTTTTTATATTAATCTTCCTCTTTTTAATGTTTCTCTTCACTCAAGCAGAGAAGATCACTCACTACCAAGTAGAACTATGGTATTATATCTCACTACGAAACCCTCTTCGCCGACATGGTTTGAGAGTGAAAACAAGAAAAACAAAGTCTTCACGAGCAGAAGCTACTCCGTGTTTACAGTACCGTAAAATCTTGTTTGTTATGGATGTCGCTACCATGCGTAGGCTTGCACGAGACTGCGAGCTTTCTCGCGAGCACGCGCTCGGATTAAATTCATTTTGCGAGAGATCTTTTCAAGATCTTGTTTTCTTTAACCGCTATTAATCACCGTCTCGTGACAGATTATGGACTTGCGTCATATATCAAGGATGTTCCTTCGCGGCACTTACAACACGCGATTCGCAGTGTTGAAGCCCTCCGACTTACATGTTAAACTTGTTTATAACAATATTCATCATAGTGACGATTTGACACGTTTGTAACAATCGAAATTTCATTGAATGCTTCAGAAGCTTATGCAAGTTTTTCGTTAAGTTTTCCAATAGTTACATGGGCCGCCGGACAATTTATTCAGGGACCTAGTTTTCAAGCTGACAAAGTTTCTCGACAATTTGTAAAATTAATATAATGCCCTGGACCATTATTTCCTATACTCTTGCGCGGACTACGTTTATAATTATTTTCTTGATAATAAATGCGAATGGTTACAGTTGAAATTATACGCTGCCACGACTTTTTCCGTCGACATTATTTAATTAAAAATAGAAAAGGGGTGAACTCGTTATATTGTACGCGCGCGAAAGAGCAGTAAAGCTGATCATACTCGGAATTTGTGTAGCACTGCGTGTAAAGCCGCTCTGGCTGTAGGGCGTAAACTCAACTTGCCGTTTTTCCCAATTAAAGCACCAATTACCGTAGTTCGCACAAGCGCAGACGGTGGCGGCGGCGGCGGCAGCGCGTTACCATGTAAAAGGTCACCGGGACGATGGAAAATCTTTGAGCTTGTTCATTGGGTCCGCGAACGATATAAATCCTCTGGCAGGTTAATTGAATCTGCCGCAAGCGAAAAACCCGAAGCAGCACGAAGGAGGCAGCAGGCGACAATTTACGATTGCTTCGCGCGCTTTCAGCGCCAGATTAGTTCGGTAATCGAAGTGAAGGCAGCCACGCGCACGTACTCGATGCCTCTCCTTGTTTTATTCGACTTGGCGCACTGTCCTAAGGAAAAGAGGTCGAAATCAGTTTGCGTGCGTGTAATCGTGTAATTAGAACTGACATCCTCGCAAATGGAGATTTTCCAAGTATAATAACTAGTTTGTCTAATTGAACATCGACCTCCCATCCTCGGAATCGTCGAGCGTACGTAGAACAAGAAAGACTGAATCGCCGAACACAAGAACCATTGGCATCAATTGAATCTCCAATTAACGTAGTTGCGAGTTCTGCATACGCAAAGTAGGCCAGCTACAAGTTTGTTCACGTATACACACAATGGGTGGCGTATAATGACTCCTTTTGGCTAGCATCGCTAGAAAAGCGTGTGCAGATCCCGAGCAGCGCGCGACTGTATAGTAATCGATACACACCTCTAGCTAGGTTAGCCAGTCCCAACCATGTCAATTCTGTATAGTTTAGGCTTTATCATGCTAGTCTATAGTTACGAGAAACTTTAGAGTCGGCTTAATGCGGTTTGTAAAACGAGAAAGAGAGATATATGTATACAGTACGTGTAGATCCTGTTATGATGTCAGCATCGCATAGTGTCGACATTTCGTTTCTCTCTCTTTCTCTCTCTCTCTCGTACTTTGACCTCATTACCAGTCCCTCTTATCTTCCCACGTAGTTTTATTAGTTTTCATACAACGACTTTATTGTTGCTGTTCTTTTTTCCTATTCATTAATCAAGACTTGGCGCTCCTTTCGTTATACCCGACCCTCACTCCATTTACACATCGCTGCACTGTAACGTATCTACATGTCTGCTTTGATTCTAGGTGGTGTTCTCTATAGACGAACGTTTATCGTGTTGTATTTTATATACAAAGATTTTTTATTTTTAATTGACTAGCCGCGTACTTTTTCCCTCCATTCATTACACAGTTGGAAAAAAAACAAGAGTCATTTTTCATGTACTTATTACACAAATTTCTTTCCTTAACAAAATAGCACATAGTTTGAAATACTTTTCATTAGATGCTGTGAGTAAGTATTCGTATTTTCAATGAGTTCTGCAGACTTTTTTTAAAAATCCTTCTCGAAAGTGAAACCTACGCGTGTAGATGAATAGTTAATCAATAATACGACACGTGCAAGTACAAAGTTTTTCTACATAGTTCACAAACTACCTCACAAACTTTTTAAAAACTTTCAAAACTCTAATTACTCTGAGCACTTTTCTATGCACGTTAGCAACGATTATTATTTACCTCTAGAGCCTCGTAGTATAAAGAGTTATTTTAGCTTCAGGTGCCATGACCGCACTTATACAACTTTCCAGCTGTGTGCTATATGGAATGGAAATAAAAGATAAGAGACTTCAGGAATAAAGAATGACCGCAAATAATGCATGCATCTTCTTAAATATATAGATTGATAAATGAGAATATAAAAGCAA